AAAAAAAAAAACGATGCTCAGCACTATTGTAGTTAAAAATGGAGGAGTAGCCAGGATTACAAATCATCTTTAGTAAAAACGTTCCTTGGTTAAGAATTTTCAAATGCGAACTTTCGGCTTTTAGTCTAACACAATCTGAATGCATCGCACAGTGGGAATGTTGGGTGTAATACCGTATACAACGGCTTTTCTGTTTAGCTGTATTTTCTTAGGCATGGTACAATTAGAGATAACTTCCAGTGACTATTTAACCCGTATTTTGGAGAACGCATAGGACGGCGGCTAGTTTTTCGTATTTTCATTTAATTTGGAATTAAACGCTGGCGTTACATATTTCTGAGACCAATAGGCGCACTAAACAGATCTAGACAATTGCGAAATTTGAAGGTAAAAATATAAATTGATTTTTGAATTTATAATTTAAAACGCTCTTATTTCCGTTTTTAGGCTCGATTTCCGCCGGTTTCCTGACTCCGGTCAACGGCTGATCAGCGGCTAGTAATCGAGTCTATTGAGTTTTAAGTGGTATCTTTTAGGGGTCAAATAAAGCTTGAGCTACACCCAGATTGGTCTCTTTCACTTTAGAGGTTTAATTCGAATTTTCCGACGAGCATCCCCCACGTTTTCATATGGGATTAACCCCCGGGTTCGATCGTTATGCATGATATTCTCGACAATCATCGACATTTCCTTTCCTACGTTTCAGGATGTTGCAGGCAACAGTCTGGGTTTATTGCCGCCCAGTTTTCCCGCCGCCATTGTTGACAGTGGTAAGTGTCGTTGCAACAATCGTTTTTTGAAAAATTTCGTAGAAACAGTCCGAGAATTTCCGATTAAAGTCGTACACGCCCGAATACACCAATCGTTTTCATGCAAGATAGCAACATAAGCCTATGTCATGTTGTGTGGTTACATCTGTGCTGAAATGCCGCTGGCTCAATCTTTTTGAAGATGGGAGGCTCAGGGATGTTCTGATATCATTTGCTAAATGTTAAATACCCTTTGACCTCATTCCTGACATTTTTTTTTCCATAGGCACAACAGACATTTTATTGCAGCCCGAAATTTACGCAGCAGTTATAGCACAACTCAAAGAGGTAAATAGAAGTTAGAATTTTGTGAAGAGTTTTTAAACTGTTTCATATCTCTCTGGTTTTCTCATGGTTATCATGGCTAGCGGTATTGCTCATGGGACGTGGGCGCGTACGCACGACGACGAGGACGACGACGCAGTCGCGCATCATGGCGACTATAATCCAGCCAATAGGTTCACAGATACATGCAGCCTTCGTTTACAGCGTATATCTTTGATATTGAACATCCATGTTATGGTCATTTGATATCTGTCAAAACAAGGTGTCCGCTGACCAGAATTACGTGACCATATCGCGGGTTACATCCTCGCAACTGATCATTTTTTGAGTTTCTGATCCCAAAGAAACAAATCCTCTTTTCCATTTATGCTTAATTATTGCAATGACGCTTAGAACTTTATAAACTTATATGAACTCCGCTTTTAGGCTTGGCTAAATCTATATATTACACCTGGGAGAAAAGAGGCACTTTGAGAGTAAAGTGTCTCGTCCATGCAAGAACACAACATAATGTCCTCGGCCAGGGCCGCTCAATCCGGAGTCGAGTGTACTAACCATGAGGCCACCGCGCCTCTGACAGAACCTCGTATGAATTCAAAGTTCTCTTCTTTTTATCTTCCTAGCGTGGTCCGCCCGTTGATGGACGATTTTGGAAGAGTTACTGTGTCGATACAGATCCCTATCAGTGGCCTTACATTACTATCTACCTGAAAGACATGAGTGAGTTTTGAAGTGTTCTTTTTGATTCTGAAACGATCGAATGAAAAGTTCGAACTTGAATTGTTGTTAACAACGGCTCTCAGTTTTTCCCTAATCTCTTCCATGCTTGCTGTTTTTTTTTGTTCTTTTTCCTTTTTTTTGCAAAAATTCCGGCTGTAAATAGAAAATAATGATTCAATTAACGGAAGAGGTAATTTTACATTAAAATGTAATCGAGACCGTTACTACGTACTTTGCTTTGTAAATGTTTATATGAAGTTTTAAATACACAAAATTTAAAAAAACCCGATTAATTGAGGATGGCATCTCTTATTTTTGATTATGACTTCCCTTTTTAAACGATTGAATGCGGAAGTAATGAACTTCCCTGTAATGGTAAAAAGTTCATTTCCGCAATAATTAATCTTCAGTACTAACCTCCACTCAACACATTGGATGTAAGCGAAGTATGATTTAGATAATTTTACTGCTTGTCGCATGATGATGACGATGATAATGACGATATATGCCTTATGGTCCGCTTATTTTATATTTATCTAGTTGGAGGTTCGTTTGGATTGACTGTTCTTGGGAAACACTATGTTAGAAAACAAGAGTGAGTAAACATGAAATAATTTTGATAAAGAATTATTGTAGTCAGCCAATCGAAAGCTTTTCTGTTGAAAGGTTTAGCTAAATAGTCCAGAGAAAACACTCCCTAATTTTAAGCTTTAAATAAAAAAAATTTCATAACTCGTACTCCTGTCAGAGGTAGTCAGTCAGTCAGTCAGCTAGCCAGTGAGTGAGTGAGTGAGTGAGTGAGGGAGTGAGTGAG